CCCCCCCCCCCAAAGATGAAAACGCTACTGGATCCCAATCCGCATGTGGCTGCAACGCGTCACGTCAACAGGCAGTGAACAATAATCGGGCGTCGTAGTTTGAAACCGACTGACATGCCGACAGGCATGACAACAATCAACACCCTCCAAACTAATAAAAAAAAGTCAACTCTTGCAATGGAAACCGCATGCAGGAACAAGCCGTCCTCTGTAAACAACATGCCCACCACCACACAGCAACACGCAGTACGGGGGCAACGCCGACGATCCAGAAGCACACACGAGGCATTCGCGTGGACGTTGGACATGTGCGGCCCATCGACTTCACGATCGTTCGCGGATCGCTTTAGCAATCTCCATAAGGGCGTTGCACATCAACAGGTTCGCCTGGTCGGCCTTCACGTAGTGTTCCTTCTGCACTTCTAGCTCTCGCTCGAGAATGTCGCATTGCCTAGTCAGAATTGAGCACTGCCTCTTGCTCGCGCTGTCCACTGTCGTCGCCATCAGACTCCCGTGGTCCTTCATGACGTACGCAATCGTGTCGAAGGTCTGTTGTCTCACATTCTTCCTTTTGCCGCACCCGCCCACAACACCGCCGCTGAAACTTGAATTCCGCGTCGATCCCTGATCGTCGTCCTGCCCATCCCCGCATCCGTCACTACCGCCTGATTCGTTCCGACCTCCAGTCCGGCCTGGCAGTTGAACACCTCCCGCCGCACCCGTGTCCGCCAGATTTGTGGGGTGTATTGTGTGATCGCCCTTGGACATGGACATCATCTCTGAATACACACGCTCGTCCATCCGAAAATCGAACCCCCGCTCCTTTCTCTCCCGCGGCGCCAGGGAGAAGAAATCAGGCTTCCCCGATTCTCCCATGAACTTGTGCACAATTTTGAACTGCATGTACATGTTGTCCCATTTTTTCCCGCAGTCATCGGCCTTTCTAGTCGTCACCCCCATCTGCACGAGCCTGCTCTCGATGTCGGCCCACTTCCATGTCTTCGTCTTCATCCTTCCCATAATGTGGCCGAGGCCAGCAAGATGCAAATCCTGGTCTCTTTTAGCTCTGACAAGAGCAATCATGTGTTCCACGGTCCAAAAATCCCTGCTTTTCGCTCCGTCGCCTGCCGATGCATCTCCCGCAGTCTTCTTGCCTCTCCGCCCGCGCGCGGCTCGCTGGACTTGCTCGTAGCCCTCGGCCCTCCCCGTTTTCCCCCCAGCGGACGAATCTCCATCTCCCTGTCGTCATCGTCGTCGTTGTCATTGCCCCCGTCGCCTGCCGACAAATCTTCACCACCCGCTCCGTCGCAATCGCCGGGTGTGTCGTCCGCCTGTACATTGATCTTCGCCACCCCTCTCGTTATGGCGGACATGCTAGATTGTCGTGATTGTCGCCGGAAATCATCCCAAACCTCTCGCCCCGCGACCTCCGCAGCGTAGCCGTCAACGTCATCCCCTCCTCGGTGGACTGCGCCGCCTGCCGTTGTCAATCCACCTGTCCTCGTCCCCTCCGCGCGAACACCTGCTGTGCCCACTGCCGCCCCCCCTCACGGAACGAGTCCACGCTCATCGCCCGACTGACCAGAACCCCGGCCGCGGGTGTCAGGAAGGCCACACGGCCCCACCGAAGGCGCTGTGTGGTTGCTGGCAGAACCCGGGTTCACGAGAACGGTGTGCGTGACGTCCTGGCCACTCCCAGACCTCAAACCGAAGTTGAGATCTACGAGCCCTCCGTCATAACCAACCGGGGTCCGCCCCTCCAGCAGATCAGTGTACGTCGGCGTCGAGGACTGTCTGTACAACTGGCTCCCCATCCAATCCTGCGTCGAACCGCTGCCTAAAGGAACCGTTGATGATCGGGGCTCGTCGCTGTCGTCGTCACTCGGAGGCAATGGAATCTCGTGGGACGGCAGGTGGATGTACAGCGTCGGGTCGTACGGGCGCGTGCCGCCTTCCGCAGAGCTGCAACGCTGACGTGACGACCCGCCAGCCCCTACGGACATCGTCCTCTTCGTCTGCACCTTCTCCATCTTCCCGGTTGCCTTCGTCGTTCGGCGCCTATGTTTCCTCCCAGGGACGCGACCGAGGATGCAGATATGAAAGACGACAACGGCAAGCAGCAACAAAGGCAGCCTGCGGCACAGGTCAGCCATGAAGGAGAGGGGACGCACTTGGCTGTCGCGATCGCAGCGCCCGTAGACACACGTTGCATGAGGGAAGACGACAACGTACAAAATTGCTGCAGCCACCGGCCGGGGGTGGACGGTTAAAGAAATTCGTGTTTCCAACCGTTAGGCAGCCCGCGGTAACGCTACGACACCTCCACGACCCACCCGAAATCGTTCGATGCCCGGCCCGGCACCGCCGTGGGGCCGCCCGACGAACCGACGGGGACGTACCGCCAATCCCCGACAACGGTAAAAAGACGAGGCCGTTCGTGGACGTTTTGGACATTGGCGCCTCGCGATGTCCGTCTTCAACACGGAGGACCAGCACTGGACCACCTCCGACCACCAATTTCCCTTTTTGACTCGCCGCCGACACCCCGATTATCGCGGATCCTCGGACTCCGAGGGACCTCGCGAGGTCCCTTGGAGACGAGGACGATTCGGCTGGAAAATCCTCGGAGCCCGAGGATTTGTCCTCGGAGTGTGTTCACATTTCGGTTTCGAAAATCGGCTCCGAGGACAGGTGGAACGAAGATGAAATCCTTGAAATCACGTCCCCGAGGTGTGTCGAACGACGCCCATAGTCCCACTCATGAAGCACTCTTGTCACACTCTTGTGAATCCTGGAGTGCAGTGCAGCCTGGTTTGTCCATCCAGACCCAGGCTCGCTGTAGAAATCCCCCTTCCTTTCAAGAAACCATCCGACCACCCTTGCAAAAACCGTGGTTGCAGGCAGGCGTGCAAGAGCGCTCTAGCAGTCTTCGGCTGACGGTGCCCTGACAGCTCCTGAAACACATTTTCACGAGCGACAAGGCAAGAGGAGTGCAGTGGCGACAGCTCTTTGACGGATGCAAGAGTAACCTCTGACAGCTCTTGATGTGTTTTCGGACGACCAAATTCACGAGTAAGTGCAGCGATGCGCAGCTCATGGAAAACCACATTTCATGAGTAGTGCAGCCAGGCCCATTGCCATGCCTCACCAAATGAGCAAAATGGGATTGAATCTTCTCCTGGAACATGGAAGTATCCACTGCCACACACACACACACACACACACACACACACACACACACACACACACATATACACAGGTTTGGGTAAGGGCAAGAGAGAGAAATGCACGACAGGACCGGTGAAGGATAGGTCGGCTCCCCCGGCATACTTATAATTCCAGGTAAGCGGGGCTAAGAGATGGTTTGTTTTTTGGGGGGGATCACTGAAATACGAACAACAGAGGTAGCCCGGCTAACTGGAAGATAGTCGCTGAGCCTCGAGCCTCGAGCCTGTGACATAGAGATCATATGGGCCTGAATTCACAAACCAGCCAGTCGATATCTCCCGGACTGCTGTCCGTGCACAAAACTATCTGCCACTGGTAAATGGACACCAACTGGCACGAAACTGCACCGGAGAGACGTACGGACAAGCACCCACAGGCCCGCCCTTCAGTATCCCCAAAGGACTAGCGATTGGCTGACCGCGTACAATTTGGTATTCCATTGGGACAGTGGATGCTACCGGACACGATACGATATCTGCACCACTGGAAGGAGAATAATCTCCCCTGGATTCCGGAAACGCTTCGGCAATCTCCAGAGTATAGACGGACAGGGGTAGGACTAGGTCCCCTCGGAAACTGGAAATTTTGCTCAAACAGTACGCGCCAAAGTTATGGATTCTACCGAAAGAAGGAATGAGTGGGTACTCCCGCGTACATACACATCTCTGCGCAGCCTTGTCCGTTCCCTCCCATCCCCTTGTTTTGTTCTGTCGGTTTTTTTTTTTTTAATTTTTTTACTCTTTTGATACTACTCCATTGTACGATTCCTATACTACTACGGATATATATATAGTGGCGCCATTCCCGGATGATACACGCGTTGATTGTGCTACTTACCTAAGAGAACCTCTGGGCGAGTCTTGCGCATATTGGTTTGGCCTCCTGAGTGTGATTACTGGGGATCGGTGCTGTTGAGAGCGAACGGTGGCTTCGGCTATGGCGGACTGGGCGTTCACGACGGGAGCGGAGGAGGACCTGCCATTTACGCCGGAACCCGAGGAGGAGATCGCGGCGGAAGAAGTGGTATACGGTCCTTGTTCTCCTCTCTGTGTGCGTATGTGAATGGGGTATGGCTGTCTGGTTGGACTGTCTATGGATGTGGCTGTTTTGCAGGTTTTTAACCCCTCTGATGAGCCGGTTGAGTGGCAACGGCGAAAAAGCTTTTAGGGGAGCCACACCCCTCCTGCGGCGATTGTTTATCCATGAAGTTCGACCGAGCCCCCAAGTTTATTGTTCCCTGACGTTCTGCTGAGCCGAATCTCACTGTTTCATGTTCTAGGCAACCGGTCCTCGCACTAGTTTTTGAGTTGATTGAGTGATCGATATAACTACCGGATATGCGGCTACGACTATTTCTCATTGATGAATAAGTACTTCTGGTTTCGGTCGTTATATATCTTCCCCTTATGGTTTCCTTTCTCCTTTCTTCTCTCTTCTTTCTTTCTTTCTTTCTTTCTTTCTTTCTTTCTTTCTTTCTTTTCTTTTCTTTTCTTTTCTTTTCTTTTGCTTTTCCTTCGGATTTTCCTTTTTCCTTTCTTCCTTTCTCCTTTTCCTTCTCTTTTCTTATGATTACTTTTTCTTTTTCTTTTTCTTTTTCTTTTTCTTCTTTCTTTTTTCTTTTCCGTCTTTTTTCTTTTTTTCTTCTTTCTTCTTTTTTCTTCTTCTTCTTCTTTTGTTCTTGTTCCCGTCTTCTTCGTCCCCCTTTGGCCATCTCCCCTGATTTATTATGAATGAATAGCACCCTGATATATCTCGTCATCTTTCCGATGATTATTCTGAAGATTGCGTTTCTACCCTGTGTTCTGTTCTTACCATTGGCTGACGGAAACCCTACCCAATGAAATGGTTCTCTGACAATACAGCCCTGTTGTCTATCTGATTGAAATCTCCACCCCTAGAATGGTTTTTAGGCTCCAATCCTTACCAGCAAGGATGAGATCCCTGCCTATTGAAGACCTCAACTCTGGTTGCAGTTTGGGTCATGAAATACATACTACTCCTTGTTGGGTTCTGTTGGATGCCCGGGTTGTGCAAGGTACCAATCAGGCTCTTCCTCCTCCACATCACGGAGGGACTTTGATTCCTGATTGATACCCTGCCCAGCTCTCTGGTTATTGATCAAACCCCTGATTTTCGACTCAGTACGCCTTGCTTGCATAAAGACACCTATCCATGTGGGCGCTGTTGCCATCCTGTCATTTCTGCATTGAGGTACATCGGGTTCGGTGGCTATGGAGACGGTATAATCGGTACATGACCGGACCTCGCGTACCACCACGGTTGGTGGAATGCATGACCGAAACGTCATGGGATTATCGATGACACACACACACACACACAGCTTGGTTGGTGCAGCGCGGTCACATGCCAGTGCCCCCGCCTGCCGCGGTGCGCCTGTGACTTGTTATGGTTAGATAGAAGATAGGTAAATAGATAGATAGTATTACGGAACCCTGTAGCAGTCACAACCCGTGTTCAACAAGGGGACATGTGGGAGCTGCACCTACCAGCAGGTGGGTGATACCTGCGCCTGCTTCAGCAGGTTGGCTATCCGGCCAGGGGTCAGCCTGTAGAATCAGGACCGAGCTTCTTCTACGGGCCAGTCACTGTGCCTCCCCTCCGGCCCCCTCCCCTGCGAGCATCAGCAGCCTCTGCTCAATGCAGTTCAGGCGGACCAGTCACTGTGCCTCCCCTCCGGTCCCCTCCCCTGCGAGCATCAGCAGCCTCTGCTCAATGCAGTTCAGGCGGACCAGCGGCCTGTCTCTAGGTGGCGGGCACCAAGCTTTGCCAAGGGGCCAGGTCCCACTCGCAAAGAGGATTGGATTAAGCTCCTGAATCTGGACGTGTTTTAAGTAGTTGTGCAGAAAAGCAGTTCAATCTCGATTTTCTGCACCTCTCCACAAACACGTCCTGATGCAGGCAGCGAATCCAATCCTCTTTGCTGGTCGGACCTCGCCCCAGGAAGGAACAAGAGGCCAATTGGTATTGAACCCAACACCTCCTGAATGCCACTTGCGTGCCCTTAGGGCCAGACCCCGCTGGCAAACAGGATTGGAATGAGTGTCTGAATTTCTGGACGTGTTTTGTGCCGAGGTGCAGAAAACTCTGATTGAAGTGCTCTTTTTCTGCATCTTTGCGTGCAACACGTCCAGATTTAGACACTTATTCCAATCCTCTTTGCCTGTGGGATCTGGCCCTACCAACTGAAGCTATACTGTCCTCCGTGCTTCCCCTCCCCCGCCGGCCAATCAGAAATTGTTGTTGCCGTCTCGATGGCGGACCTTCCATTCACGGCGCCGTGCACGGGTCGTCCGATTCAAGCAACCACAACGAACGATCGGCATTCGTCGCCCACCGTCAACAACCACAGTACAGTACATGATATGTAGTGGTACCCACACCCGGACGCCTTCCATACCCTGTGGAGCTCCAATGGGGCGTGGTTGAGTGTGGTCCTCTTTCCCATTGTCGCACTGAGTCTCGCAGAGAACGGATTCTGTGCCGCACACCCGCACAGTGCAGAGTCTGCAGACGGCGTTGCTGACGAGTAGGTGGAGGGCTGGAACGCCTGTTTGATGTCTTTTAGATCTCTGTTTTTCTGTACCTGTGCATAAAGGGGTGATATGTTCATCTGGGTCCCGCGTCAGCATTAGAGCTCAGGTGCTGTCTGCGAGCAGTTGCGTGTGTAGTATGTACACCATTCACTGCACCCGCATGGACTGTGGAACGGTTCCCCTTGTTGATGGCATCAATTTTTCCGTGACGTCTCCGTAACACCTGACAGGGGGGAGACTCTAACATCCTCTCACTCTGACAGGCGCAGGTGTATCATCATGACGATGACGACGAGGAGCAGCAGTTGAAAGATGCTCGTTGGATTTTGTAATACATGTTGAAGCTTTCCAAAAAAAAAAAAAAAAAAAAAAAAAAAAAAGGTTCTCGTTGATATATAGCCATATGATTTGCTTGGACCGTCGGAGGAGGAGGAGGACAAATGCCAGGAGCGGCTGACAATGACGGCGCCCGGGAACAGCACGCAGGGATACTGACTGACTGACTGAAGCTGCTG